TCAGTGAACGACAGAAATGTCTACCATCCAGCATGCCAGATGAAAAATGTATATCTACCTCGCTTACTTTATGCAGACTTTTAAGTCAGCTGGCATACTCACCTGAGGAATGTATGTCACTTCTTAGAGATTCCTTGCAAATGTTGTCGGAAACTAGAGATTGTGAGGAAATTGCTACCTATGATTTGGATAGAACTAAGATTGATGTAGTTAACAGTGCTGACTTAACTGCAGTGTTTTGTGAGAGAGAGATTCCTGTTGATAGTATCTCAGTATCAGGGAATGATATTGTGATGGCACCGATGACTACCTTAGCAGGTTGTTACACTGAACGTGTGCCAGACTTGGATCTGGGCGCTGTCCCACCGAGTGAGGCATCTGCTGAACTAACCCAGATGGAACGTGAGAATGGTGTAACAGACGAGACAGTGTTCACATTTGATGTTGGAGTGAATGGAGAAATGAGCAATGGGAAGGAAAATGAAGGCATCCAAGCCTGTGCCATGTCTGCTGGTAAAGAAGAACCAGTCAAGAGGAAGATCGGGAAAATTGGCTGGAGCTCAATTCTTGGTAACATAGGGAAAAATGTCCCGGCTCAGACTTCAGAAGCTCAGGAGATGAGTGGTGTTGAGAACAGTCCTGAGAAACCAGTTCACCCAGGTACGTTAGCCTTCTCCAAACGCAAATGGTCCAAATCCAAACTTGTGCTTCCATCCTCACTTCGACGGATCCAGGAAAACCGAGCTCTCTCAACGGAAGAAGTGCCACCAGCTAGTTCATCTAATCCTGAAAAGCAGGCATTAGACCACAACTCCAATAACTCAACCCCCCTTCCCAGGAGACTCTCCAGTAAATGGTCTAAAGAATCAATGGACTCTGTGGATTTTGGAGATGAGGAAGAGATTGAGGTGGAGGAACATGTGAGCGTTTCACCGGAAGTCATGGCTGTCGATTCACGTCATTCTGCTGAAAAGAAGCGATGGAACTTAAGAAATGAAGGCGCATCCTCCGCACAGATCTTTGGCAAGGAGCCCCAACCAAAACTGGTCGGCATCACTGAGCTCATGTTGAAGATCAACCGCGATAACAAGAGGAAGGAGTCTGAGAAGAATGGAGCCAGCCCACTTGATCCACAGAGACTCTCACCGACTGATGGAGCTTCTCTCACAGTTGGGACGAGTCCTGAAGTGGGCCGACTCAGAGCGGTCTCATTCAATACCAGCCAGGAAATTGAGGTCAAAGGTCATCTGGATTTCCTTGTCTGTAAAGTGGATGATCGTCTGAACTTGGGACGAATTGAAACATGGATGTTGCTGAGATACAATCAATTGGTTCGATTCATCGCTGGTGTAATCATTGGCATGTTCTTTGCTGTCGTCTGTCGTATAATATTCTGAGGAACACTTACCAGGGCTGTGCTCTTTCTCCTATTTTGGGTCAAAATTCAAAGTAAAAACTACCAAGTAGTAATTTACTGTGAGGTGAGATGGTGCTGTTCCAATGTATATTTTTAGTTTTGTACACAGGAAAAGGAGGGAAAATTATGAGAGAATAATGGCACTGAAATGATACCTTTCTAACAATGAGAGAATTGTGATACATGAGTGTCCACAACCTTGCAATGTTTCTATCATTTGCAAGACAAAGAAGACACAAACAGCATTCCAAATTAAGCATGCATTAAGTGCTCCCAGTGACTACTGTTTATGTTTAGCCCGATGAACATGCGATGGGTCTTAATACTGGAGGTATGATAGTTTATTCCCTGAGGTGTCGTATTCCCTTGACATACTGAATCAAAGTCTCAATTACAGGAACTATTGATGGAGTATTCAGTGTATGAATGGGAGCAATGAATGATATGCCGTACACAGTCGAGTTGTGTATTTTTAGTTCAAACTGATATATTAAGATGCACCTGTCATCGTTTCTCCACTGTTACAAACTCATCTAGAATATGCAGTGCAGCTGATGGGGAAAAAGAAGCCTGACTTCTCTTGTAATATCGTGAAGTCGGAAAATTGATTATAATACTGACTTTGCCATTGACATGGCATTGAGCAGAGAAGTTGCATTAAAATTATGCGTCCAAAGTAAACAGTGTATAGTCCTGATGAACTGATCAGAAATGTTAATTGATTAGCATGTGGGTTGCAAGTGTAACTTTATTTATTTTGTAGAATTAATGCTATTAAATTGTATGATTAAAATGCCTGCACATTCACTTTAGATAGATATAAACTATTTACTTCTGACCAGTTAACAGGTGTCTTACTAATTGTGACACTATTTATTCCTACTATTTCTGGAAATGGCCAGCCTGTGAGAAGTACTTTTACAGTTTGTATCCCATTTTTTTTTTAGCTGTTGAGCACAGATACCTCCAAAAGCAGTTTTTCAAACAAAATGTTGGGGGTGTATCACGGATATTACTAGAAATCTGTTCCCAGCTGAACTGCTTTAATTTGTTGAGTAACATTTTTGTTCCACGAAACTGGGCCAAATTGGTGAATTTAATTTGTTTCTGGTTGCAAATCATAAAATACATGTCAAATAAAATCCAACACCAGAGGATTTCATAATGTGGAGGTGAGACAGTACACTGAAAGTGAGATTTCATTCCTTGCCATTGACTGCTTTTACAGTTAATTTATGAAACAAATGCGATGAATGTGTACCATATATATGTATTACAAATGTTGGAATTCCCACAAAAATGAAATTACTGACAGTGGGGATACTTCCTGACAGTGATGTTGTTTGTCAGACTTTCGAACATGCATAAACTTTATTTTTTGTGCTATTTGTGTTGGGGTGTTTGTGAGAAATTGTCTTAGAAACTTGCTTATGCTAACATAAATTTTGAAATATTGATCATTGCTTACTAGAAGATATTCCCATTTTTGGGAGGTTCAGTGTTTTTTCATGAACCTTGAATTCACACTCCATTTAAAAATCTACCTGAGAAAAAGAACTCGAATATTGATTCTAATTTTGTCAAAGTTAAATTTTGTCAAATTTATTCAGATATTGTTGGTGATCTTACACTTTGTTGAAATAGAAATCATCATCCCATTGATTATGACTTGTAGTGAATGTTGCTGTTATTTAATATCTGGGTTAAATGGACTACCTTCCAAGGTACTTATTTCTACTTTTGTATTTTTGTACAATTTCAGAATAAAAAAATTTAGCATGCATGCGGCATCTGTACTTTTTAATATAATATTTGTGCATTAGTTGCTGTGTGGTTTCTTATTTTCATCTATGATTTCAGTTATTCCAAAGCACATGTGGCCTTTTGTTCAGTACTCATGCAAATGTTTATTGAGAAATGTTACACTGTGAAATCATAGCCAGCCATGCAAGGTTTGTTGTACTAACAGGAAAACAGTAACAAGCCAGCAGGTTGAGTTGTGAACTGTTTCATGTGAATTGTTACTTACGTGTGGATGTCGTTTTGACCTAATACCAGCCAGCTATCTGGATTGAGGAAACCAGTCTAAACCGGTAATGATTCAGTTTTGATTCTACTTGTTCTGGTTTGTTTTTTTTTGATTTACTGCACAGTTGATTGGAATAACATTAAGCAGGATGATATGTTTTAACAGAACTATCTGTGATTTTGTTTTGTTTTTGAAAAATCATACATGAGATGAGCATAGCAAGATGAGCATAGTCAAACGTTTGGATCAAATTTAGAATCTAACGAAAATGTATATGTAATGGAGAAAATTAATCGTGCATTGATTATTAAGGGCAATCATTGAAAGAAAAACAGATTTCATTACCATTGAAATACATGTATATTCACAAAATATACAAATTTATAGCCTCCTTATGCTGTGTGCTCAGTGGGAGTGCTTGCTAAGGGTATGTGAGGAAATCTCAACATGACTAGGTCCTGTGTCATTTGGAGAAATATCCACGCATTATGTTTTTCAATTCGTCATTTATGCTTCTCAGAAAGTCCTCCAGTTTTCTCCATCCATCTCCAAGAAGTCATCACCACTGGGGGCAATGACCTCCAGCTGACCTGCAATGTCAAAGGTCATCCTCTGCCAACATTTACCTGGTTGCACAATGACAAGGAGCTGGTGGGAGGCAAACGTATACAGCTGACGTCAGATGGGAAAGGTCAAGGGTCACTGGTTATCATGCGAGTTGAGGATGAAGAGGCCGGGATGTATAAATGCATTGCCACAAATAAGCAAGGGAGTGCTACAAGTTGTGCCAAGGTTACTATTTTCGGTGAGTAGACCTTCCTTGGTAATTTACCTACAATTACATGATATCTCTCTCATAAGCACAATGCTGTAGTCATAGGCCCCATGCCATTGATAAAACATAGGCATGTAGTTCTTGATATTTGTGGCAATTTTGACAGGGCATGACCAAAGGTGTAACCTGGGGTCCCCTCCCCCAACGGCTGTGCCTCTCCTCCCCCTGTGACCTCCCACTCCCCAGGGTCTCATCCCCCCCACACCTGTGCCTCCCCTCCCTGTGACCTCCCACTCGGATATATGAGAGCAAGAAATAGCTTATTAATCCATGTACAGCCAAAATCATTCCGTGTCTCAAATGGAAAATTAGCAGCAAATGAGGCCCTGGTTTGGTTTTGTATTTGAGAAAATCCTTGTGTACCCTTTTCTGTTCCAACTGTCTTGACGTCTGACCTCTCAGAAAAACCAGATGCTCCTCTAAGACCAAAGGTATCCCTAGCTGCTGCGACTGAGGTAGTTGTAACTTGGAATTTCCCCAGCACAAGAGTCACCATCACAGGCTTCCGGTTACAAAGCAAGAAAGAAGGTTAGTGCTGTAATATCATTATGAATAAATCAGCTACTATCTTGTTGATGTGAATGGGGCTGACAGATAATTATAGGATAACAAACATTTTGTCCGGGACTTTTATAAATGTTTTTTGTGTTTTCCCAATATTTTGAGCAAGCAGTGCCTGCTACCCAGATGTGGGTCTTGGCAAATGTATTATGTACATTAAAGTTGGCTTAACTTCACTAGTCTTTGAAAATAAGAGGTGGACCTCTTACCACGTTTTAACTTTCCAATTACAGAGGGTCAAAATCTATTTCTATTACTGCCTTTTTGTTGAGAGCTGTCAAAATCCAATTGGCAAACTTTATTCAATGGCACAACTTCTGCTTTAGTCTTTTTGTCAGTTTTCTGCCTTTGAGAGATCCATCATATTTAGGAAAACATAAGGACTTTTCCTTTCTGCTTTTGTTTTCTTGGTTGTCGTAGATGACAAACAATGGAACATTGTTGAGGATAAGATACAACAGTGCTTCAAACACATCTCACCACTGCTTCCATCTACCGAGTACCGGTTCCGAGTAGCTTGTTGCACACAGTATGGTATTGGTCCATACAGTCGTTCATCAGTCCCAACAACAACATTACCCATAGGTGAGAAAACTTTCTGAGGACTTACATTATACAAGATTGAAAGTCATAGGAAGATGATTAATCCTTACGTTAACTTTTCTCATCATAAAAACAAATAAATTTGTAGCACAAATAGTCTAAATCGTGTATTATGCTTGTTAGTGCTTTGGAAAAGGGGATCAGGTGGTTTGAAATAACTGTTGACCATTTCCTATTCCCTAGATCCCCCTCCCTTGAGAAATTTCTCTGTTTCAGGATAAAACTTTCGACCACCCCTCTGATATTAGGAAAGGTATAGGGAGCCATTGAGTCACTCTTGCTATATATCTCTCTTTAATTCAGACTAGTGACTTGCTGAATTCATACTCTGGGCCTGAAGGCAATAACCAGTCAATAGAAGGCTTCCTTCTGTCCAATGAAGGCCCCTATAAGTCTCAGTTCAAATGTCTTCAGGAGTTGGACCAGGCTACAGTACATAAATTTCCCAGTAGTGGTTGCCTGAAAGTTTACATAGCCCTACATACCACCAGGTTGTTGTGAAAGTCGGACGATATGTGAATTACTTGGCTATGTCTAACTTAAATATTCACAAATATACAGCAAGTGGATATTGCCACGACTTGATGACTTTTTACTAGCCATGGCAACTAATGTAAACATAGCCTCACATCTTGGTTTTTGTGAGTCCAAAGATGTTCTTTGTGACTGTGAACAAAAATCCCTCAAGCAATGATTTGTGAATTTGTTGACATTTTACCACAGTAGCGGCTCAGGCTGGTTTTGAAATAAAAACATTTGTACTGCCTAACACAGCAGGTGTCCATGTGGAACACATAAATGGTTATCAGTTTATCTCGACTAAATATATTGTGAACAGAGAACAATATTCTTTTGGTTCATATCCTTTAGGTTCACAGCCTCTTAGCATAGAAGCAATCGCTAAATTCCAGACATTATCAAGAAGTTGCAGTCTTGATCAAGATCATAAATCTTCCTCACGGGAGGTGATACTTGAGAACTTCCCAGACGGAGGGATTGAACAAACGATTGATTTGACGCTCAAGGAGAGCTTGCCGCAGAAAGCCTATGATTTCAACATTGAAATTGGGCGGTGAGTGACAATTAACTTGCTGTGTTTAAAAGAATGTTGTCTCTTTCAACTCTGCACTGAACACATCCGAATTTTGGCAGTGGGTTGCGTTCTAATTGCTTGACATATTGTGAAAGACTGTCTCCGTAGATAAAAATATCCATTTGGATAGCAACAGGGAAGGCAAACTGAAAAAATGGTTACTGGCAAAATTTCATCAACACCAAGATGAAGACAAGAAAGTAAAATTCAGAGAGCTGCTTTGTGAATCTTTTAAAAAGCAGAGAAATTATTGGATTGTGATTATGGGATGCTAGTAGCATGAATCATCAAGGGATTAGAACAATAAGGTCAGAGCAAGGCAAATGGACACCTGTGTATGTGAGACGTGTGATCTTTTCTATCCATGACAGGGGTAGATACGCTGTGGTGCGGAAATGTTACAAGTACAGCACTGGATTAGAATATGCAGCCAAGATAATGCTCTCGGCAGAACCTGTGAATAAACAGAATCTTCTGGAATATGAAATCTTGAAAGAACTCAACCATCCAAACATTGTACAACTCCGCGATGCTTTCTTGACAAAACGGTTCTATGTACTCGTGATGGAACGGTACTACGGGGGAGGGGTGATGAGCCACCTCATCCAGAAGGACAAATACACAGAGCAACAGATTGTACGATTGGTGAGACAGCTACTGAGCGTGCTCAGTTTTTTGCACCAGAGGAATATCGTTCATCTGGACATGAGGCACGACAACATCGTTTTGGAGAGCAGGAGGAGAGACGCACTTCGCGTCATTGATTTTGGGTCAGCGAGGAGAATGGAATCAGATGATGGAATGAAGATGGAAGGATTGGATTCACCACCAGAATTTATGGGTAGGTAGTTAGTTTCACTGATTCAATATTTACTTGTTTATTTTTCCAAAATTAAAGTTCCCAATTTATCCACAGCTGATTTGGTTCAGTAGCTACTTAGGACACAACTAACTCATTGCAGTTTTCCAGTTTCACATTTTGGATGGTTTTATCATTGTTTTGGGAAGTATTTGACTATTCAGATTTTCAGGTAAATAATTTATTCTTTAAAAATAGAACTGTTTCACTTGCATATTGTTAGCAGTTGAAAGTTCTTCAACTTTGTTAGGTGGTTTTGTTTTTATTTTTTGATTGATTGATGCTGATTAATTCTGACTTTCTAAAGTTTTGCAAGTGTAAACTTTTTGTTGCCTATTTTCTTTGTTATTGTGCTTTTTTTGTAGCTCCTGAGATAGCGTCTGATGGATTGATAGAATATGAGACAGATCTTTGGGCCCTTGGCGTCATGATCTTTGTCTGGTGAGTCCTTCCTTAGATAAGTTAGATAGTCTTCTATTGATTTCAAACCACTTCAATCTGAATAAGTTGACTTACTGTTGTTCAATCAGTGCACTTGAGAGCTCTTTTGTAGAATGTCAAAAAACATTATTACAGGGAAATTTCTGACAACAAAGTACCATCTTGCATCTTTTCTCCTCTTGCTACTTAGGTTGAGTGGAACATCTCCTTTCCTTGGACGCAATCGAGAGAAGACAATCTACAACATCACCAGGTTGAAAGTGAACAGGAAACATCTCTTTAAGAATTGCACAGCTGAGGCCAAGCAGTTCATCTGGGCAATTCTGCAGAAAGAACCAATGTAATTAGAAGCCTTTAATCTCACCTTAACCTTTCAGCATGAAAACCAAATGCATCTGTTAATGTGGGGGGGGGTGGAGGGCTAAAGTTCCTTTAGAAAAGCCTTTCCTCCAGACCTCTTTGATTGAAATTTCTTTGTCCTCAGTCCTTGGGCAAAGTGGTTTTTATAACTCCATTTGTTTCTTAGCATGGGTGTATGCCTCCTTCCTGCTGATGCCCATGTCTCATTCAACCACCCCTTTTTGAGAGTTCCTCAGTTTACCCCCCCCCTTCATTTTGTCAGGAAATGTAGAAGGTAGTGCTTTGGACAGATTTTCTTTGTTAAACTACATGTAATTTGATTAAATACTGACAGGTTTATTGTTTGTTTGGTCAGTGATAGGCCATCAGTTGATGAGTGTCTTGCCAGCCCCTGGCTCAGCGATACTCCAGAGATGAAAGCCAAGCGTGAGGCTGCTGTCTTCTCCTCCAGGAAGCTCCGAACACAGCGTACAGAGTACAAGTTCCGCTTACTAGCACAGCAAACAAGAGCAGACATGTCACTGAGAAGGTACTCCTCAACGATAGAGCTGAAATCACCGGGAGCGACTGTATCGCCCAAACCCAAAAATGGAGTTCTAAACTCACTGGTTTATCCGAAGGTCCAGACTTAATGAATGTGTCGTGTGACATTGGTCACATGATCTGGTGGTAGTCACATGACCAGGAAGCCATTATATATGGTAGCCTGATTTTTCCTGAGTTTTTCTAAACCTGAACCTGTCAGCATCATCAACACAAGTGCAACAAACCAGTGGCATAATGGCACATTTACTGTACTGAAATGATGTAAACTCCTATTTATTGATTATTGAAGCTGATACCTATCGTTAGGACTCAACTGATATCCAGCAAAACCACACAGAGTTTGAGGATTTGGTGTGGTAAGGTTAAAAGTTTTGGGAATTACTATAAAAGTCACACATTAGGCCGCATAAAACTGGCATCTTAGCATGGTTTGCAGTTCCGTGTCATCTTGAAGTTTGATCAAGTGGAAGAATACCGTTGTGGGCCACTTGGGGCTAATGTGTGTCACATAGGAGCAATCTTTGAATAATCCTGCTCAAAGTTGCCATCTACAAGAGTAATGTATTGCTGAAGTTGGCAGTTGTTGCTGTGAGGCCGTTTCCTAAATCTTTCCTTGAATATTCCAGTTGACAGAGTGCAGTGTTTGCTGTATTGAGTAGTGTCGACACCAAAAATTCACTTTTTTTCATTGGAAGAATATATAATTTTAATGAAAATCAATAGTATACAAATTTGAAATCAACGTGGAATATGAGTGTAGCAAAATCAACTCTGTCTGTAATGGCTACCGTGGTTTGCTAAATGCGTGACTTCGTCCAAATTATGGTCACAAACTAAAGCCATTACACGTCCAAAAGCAGCGCCCATCAATCAGTTGAAACTGTGTAAAGATATCTACTGCTAAATCTCATATTTTCACTGCTGCGCTTGAAGGTGTTGAACAGTGAAACATTTGGCAACAAAGGTATCTTGATCCATACAGCAAACAGGGCACGAAACTCACTCCAACTGGGACAAACGTTATTGATCATAGCACCGACAGGATTCATAAATTTGTAGTATAGCTTACTTGCCATAACTGAATAATTCAACTTGTGCAAAACCTGTATGTATACCAACTGATGATGATATGTTTTATATATATATATATATATTATATATATCTACTGAATGTTACATAATGATTAATTCATGCAGAAATATTGTACATGATCTCTATGAGTGTTCGTAGCATTATTATAGCACTTTCAGATGCATGTATGGAGTGAAATGTTAGGAATTTGCTAGAAATACTTCTCACTCAAAGACTCAGTGAATATTGGGTTTTATTGAACTGTAAATTGAAGAGGCTGCAGGCATTCAACTGGAATATTGTATTCCATTTATCAGTAAAATTATAAAAGAGACAGGAAGGGTTTTTCTAATGCCATCTGTCATTTGGATATTATATTCGTTAACACCTACATGTACTTTGGTGGTTGATTTTAAGGGCAGATCCAGAACAGCCAATGAGGGACACGCCCCTACGACAGAGCCTTATTATTTCATTTTTTTGGGTAAAACAATGAAAGAAGATTTTTGGTCAATATTATTTCCAAAAGCATGTAAAAAAGCCCTAAAATGTAGCCTCACCCGTCAGAAAGGCCACAAAAGGTTACAGATGAGAAAATTCCATATGATGATTTGTCCCCCAGAAAGAAGCCCCCCCAGGAAATTTGGTTCTCACTGGATCCACCCTCGAGCTGTAGGAATTACAAATTGTCTCATTGTCACTTTGACATTGAGCAACTCTAACAAAACAAAAACGAAACAAGAAGCAAAACAAAGTAAAGTGCACAGCATGAAACCCATGACAAATAAGTTCACCTTTTTCAAATGATAAAAACCATATTGGAATGCATCTCTTTTATACCAAGAAGATAAGATTTACTGTAGACTATGTAGATATTCCTTCTGTTTGAGAAGTAGATATATTGATAATGAAATTGAGATGTTGATTTTACTTCTGTGTGCTGAATACTCTGTATGATTTTGGCTTATGTTGTCAGTTTCATGGCTTGTAGATCAACAATTCCTTCAGTTGTAGATACAGTCCAACCTCGTTAATAAGAGCACTGTTAGTTAATGCAAGATTCTGCTTATAACAAGGAAAATTTTAGGTCCCAATCCTTTGTTTTTCCTTGTTTTTATTCCTGATAATACATGGTTCCTGTTATAACAAGGTAATTTGCAAAGTCCAATGGATCTCTTATTAACGAGGTTTGACTGTAATCCAGTCAAATTTCACTTCTTAGAAGAAGATTGGATACTTGATATCATGAACTGATTGTTGCAATAAAGATGGCAGATTATGTGCTCGTAAAACAGGTCTTGGAAAGTGATTCATTTGGCAGTCAATATGGAATTCGTCTTTAAAAACTGACATAAGTTATTTGCTTTTGCATTTTTAAGATTTATTTTTTTAATTAAAAGCTGAACAAGGAACATTTTAGGGGAAGAAATGGAATTCTCTTTGTTTTCTTAGAGCAGAACAGGGACTATTTTGTGTTGCTTTTAAAAGGGGAAAGTTTTGAAATGCGTCATTGAACTTGAGGTTTGGCTCAGAACTTCTTTACAATAAGCTTGGGGCGGGAGTCTAAATTCACAAGTGGCGTCTGTTGGTCATTTCAAAAGCCGATGCTGAATAGAACTTATGCTCGAGGCTTGAGAATGGGCCAGTTTCCAGTTTTTTATTTGGGTTTGAAACAATTTCAATTTGTCAAAATTCGCAAATGGGAAGAACATTTTAATGTCAAAGCATCTCAGTGCGAATTTGGCCCGAATCACTTGGCTGCGGCTTCGAATGTATACTATGTGTGTTACTCAAGCCACAGCCAACAAACTCGGTTACGTCTTACGCCCCTGTGAAAGAACTGTTCCAAGCTAAAGAGGGCGCTATCACTTTGTCCCCGCCCTGTTCGGGAATGGGAAAGAATCTTCAATTGGGAATATTTACAGCAGCATGGCGCGTGGTTCAAAAGGAAAAATTTACGCTGACGGACTTTCGAGTGGTTTCTTGGCTATTTGAGTATTCTTCGAGCGGAATTTGGCAGGTAAGGCATACAGATAAATCGTAGCATGTTATGGAAGTAAAGTAGGTCAAGGAAATGCTCCCGTTTCATCATTCGACACTTTTTTTAGTAGGCCCTATGTTTTGCAATTACAACATGGCGGCCATCACCTGGCCATGGCGGCCCACAGTCGTCACACCTGGCACCTGCACACTGCGTAGCGCAGCCTACATACACAAAGAGTTCCATCTACGGAACGTAAGGCCCCTGTGGACAAACCTATGGGATTCCACTTGTCTGAAAAAAAACCACGTGTTTTCTAAATACATACTCGAAACGCCGCTTAATTGAAGAATAATTAATTCCTGTCGATAGAATAGGCTTTTATGTACAAAAACATATCCGTAACTTGAACTGCTGACATGGCCGGATTCGTTTACCTCAAAGTTTTTGTTGCATATTTTCTTTGTCATTGTACTGTTTTTTTTTTTTTTTTTTTGGGGGGTAGCTCCGGAGATAGCGTCTGATGGGTTGATACTCAATGATAGAATATGAGACAGATCTTTGGGCCCTTGGCGTCATGATCTTTGTCTGATGAGTCCTTCCTTAGATAAGTTAGATAGTCTTGTATTGATTTCAAACCAGTTCAATCTGAATAAGTTGACTTACTGTTGTTCAATCAGTGCACTTGAGAGCTCTTTTGTAGAATATCAAAAAACATTATTACAGGGAAATTTCTGACAACAAAGTACCATCTTGCATCTTTTCTCCTCTTGCTACAAAGGTTTAGTGGAACATCTCCTTTCCTATTTAATGGCAACCCAGTGTTTTCCACGGCAGAAAATTTTGGCAGGGCGGTAGACAAAATTGCGAAGCGAGAAGCACAAAGCCCTTACATCGTGAGGGCCGGGGCTAGATGCTCTGTTGTGCATTCTGGGACAATTTCCAGTCCACTTTCGTCTGTAATTTGGCCCCAAATCTGATTGCAATAACAACGTGAAATATTGGCTAGGATATTCTTCAGGAGGAATTTCTTCATCAAAAGATTTGATGATGAAACTATTTAATTTCCGGAGCATTTTTAGCAGAACCTCATGTTAGTGACTCGAGACATGCTTGAGATGAGCAAAGCATGCAGAGTAAAACAACCCTCGAAATGCGCCCTTGAATAAAAAAGGACAAAAGAAATATGTTCAGGCAAAGATAAGTTTACAATTTCCAGCTCACGTCATAAAAATGAAGCAACCCCTCCATCACCGTGGGTACCAGTCACGTGCATTGGGCAATACAATGTACGTGTACATGTACAAAACATACGCGATAGTTTTTTGGGACACGAGGTTGACTATGCATAACTGTAGGCAGCCAACGATCATTGTCAGTACATCATAAGCGTCGTCACTAAACTCAGTCTTGTTTCGTAGGGTTTGTGCGCAAGGTTTCCAAATAAAAATTGCATATGAATTTGGAAAGAGTTCCATATGCGGACATTTGACACCCCAGGCATAAATCCTTTAAGACTGGCCTAGAAAATTCTGGGTGTTTTCTACGTAACCGACTTGGTTTTTTCTTCCTTAAATTGAACTTTCTGGACATGTTCTTGCTTTCTGATTGCTTATAGGTCACTGTAGGGAATACTTACATGCACTGGTGTCTAGATGCGTCTTTAATACATGTATGGAACTCTTTCCATGAATTTTTTCCAGTTATAGGACTTTTGATGTGAACTAGCTCTTGATTTTTTTTTCAGAAATAATCTATTTGCTCTGTATTGTGACTTTAGGCCTACATGTACTAATTGGGACTTTTAAAAATTTTTTTGTTTTCTGGATATGAAATGCAGACCTACTGTGCGTGTGACACAATGTGGGACGTCCAAAAAAGGAAAGATATCATCCACCAGTAATCAACTGTTTTGTACAACTCTTTGAATTCAGTCCTGCTTGATTGACATGTTTAGTTTTCCTGTTAATTTAAGAAAAGCATTAACCCTAACCCTCCTCAATCCTTCACCTGTTGGAGGACTGAGGAGGGTTAGGGTTAAAACATACACATACAGTATTGTACTGTACTGCTGATGCCAACATTGAATGATTTTGGGCAAGTTGTGTATGTGGGGTCATTATTGTAAGCCTGGAACTGATGTTTACAAGTTATCAAATTCAGACGTCTTGTCTGAATGGAAGACTTGTCTTTCCAGTTGACAGAGCTGATTGTTAAGTCATTTTGTCTTGGAGTTGCCTCCACAAATGAGTTGCAGAGTTGAGTTGTCAGTACCTGTGAACTTTCCATTGGCTCATATTACATGTGTAACATGTGAAATTGAATAGGCACATTGAAAACGTAATAATCATAAAACAAAATGTTCATGCAGACTGTGACATAAAAAAAATAGTTTGTTACTTTAACAGAATATAAAGTGCTTTTCCTGGCCATTCAAGTGAAAGGCTGTCCACCTTTTTTACTGCCAATGTGTCATTCCCTTGTGTCATTGCAGGATTTTGTTTTCTGGTGTTTAGATTTGTTTGGTTTTCTGGTCAAAAGTCAAGCCCACTGAACGGTTGTCAAGGCGTGAAAAAAGCACTTGTGCAGCCACTGTGAAGATTTATGGTTTTGTCTTAAGAGAGAAGTTCAGTACAAAAATATGATCTCAAAATATCCCAATATACTCAAGTACTTTACCTGTTGCACTTCTACAATTGGAGCATAATAATTCCTATCATTGTTACAAATCGAAGCTTTTGAAAATGTGTCATGACCGCTACATGTATGTAATTGGTTTCATTTTTCAGACTGTGTAATTTTGTCAACTTTTCTCCACAGATGACTGATTACAAGTCCAGGTTGAAGCCATTCTTCATCACTCAGGTCATGGACCTGACATCAAGTGGACATCAAGACTTTCCCACCATGTATCCATGAAATATTGGTGAGTCTCTACATACACTTTGAAGTTTCTTCAGTTAACAAGCCCTTTGTCAGTTGAGTCAATGTATACCATTATGTTGGGTGAACTAATTCCATTTTTAGTGTCTCAAGAATGTTTCATATCGCTTCATATCATGTACATGCAGGCAGCTATGGATGTTTGGTTTAAAGGGGATGGGCCGCGCTGGGAAGATTTCTTGTAAAACATGCATCAGCACCTAACAAGAAAACACATGTGCATAATTTCAAAATGCGTGGAAATTATATATTAACAAAATTATAGTTTTCCGACCCTTTTTCACTCCCTTCTCGGAGCAAAAGCTAAACAGCCGTTGGGTACCAAAAGTTGTCTGAAGAAATTCCCAAGAATCGTGATGTTATAGGACGGAGTCCTTTATCCGGCGACATTTTACTGTTATGCAGTGACGCATCAACATGTACAGTGCAGTAGCATTAGCTTGTGTCATCATGTCACATTCAAGCGACGATAATTCCAGCGTAATACTTATTCTGATCATGACAGCGATCATTTGTCATGTTCGTCTTATTCAATTGATGAAGAAAGCGACGTTGAAGTAGCTGATGAGGCACAAGAAATATTGCCTTGCCAGTTTGAACCAGAATACACTCAGGAAGAGATTTTGCAACTCGAGGCTGTTGGCCACGAGCATGGCGGCTACCCTGAGGATTGACAACAAAACACTGACTGGAAATGATTCTTTCCTGCATCATTATAAAACTTTGTCTTTCTGAAAAGACATAACAGCTGCCACCGACAACACAGTTTATCTTTCATTCTTTCGAAATTCACAATTCGCGCTAGAAATTATTACATCTGTATGACCCGATGCAAAGCAAAATGAACTTGACACGTCAAGTCAGTTGTCCAATAGCTCTGCCCCATGTTGAGAGAAGGGCATAGGAAACAAGACCAAATGTGGTTGACTTAATGGGGTAACACGTACAAGTTACGTACCCGACTACACGCCAGAGCTGAGAGCAATTATTCTTGTGTGGACCGCTCTTGTCGGAACTACATGTATGCATTCTGGTCTGGAAAGTCGGGTCCGTCCAATGACGTCACATTTTTGCTGAGATTTGTCTGCTGCCCTCATTGACTGATTTTGATAATTTTTTGCAAAGAGCCCAGGCGAAGACTGAAAAAAGCACTTAGAAAACACCAATTTTTTGCTAATTTAATGACATGAGAGAGGGGCTAATCCAACTTATTGTATATAAGACGGTTGAAAACTGTCATATAACATCAATTTAACCCTACATGTACATGGTCCATCCCCTTTAAAGTACGTACGTGTACATGTACATAAACATACTCATAGTCAACATATTTTCAGTTGTTATTCAGGGTTTGAACATAATATGTGGGTCAAACTCTGACAATGACCAGGAAGACCCCGCTACATTGCAAAATGTCACTAAAATGTTGCCAGGACGGGATGAAACTTGGAAAATTGGACGAAAACTTGCTCTTTCGAGATCATACTGTGTTGCCAGCACGTGCATGAAGTTCCCACTACATTCTCATTATGATTAACCCTGACAGTCCTCAATCCTTCACCTGTTAGAGGATTGAGGACTGTTAGGGTTAAACTGATGGTGAGTTCCGACTCTGCTAAGATGCAATCGGATCATTCCACAATGTAAAAGACTTCAATGTGATTGTAGGCCTATATGACCTAAAAGATCATGGTACGATGGTAATACCACACATATACTTTGTCGCTGCGTGTATAATTTATATGGTAAGGGGGGGGGACATTTATGTACATGTTTAAATGAAAAAGTTCCAAATCCGTTTATAGATTTTCCCAAACGTTAAATGGAACCACCCCTTTTAGAGGTTTGACGTTTTGATTGACAAATTCTGGCGTTCATTTTTATTGTAAACAATGTCTGTAAAATGGAATCTGATTTTCGGAATATTTTTTTCCTTTCAGCATCGATGTACACCGTACTTTTTGAGAAAAAATGTGGATTCCAAAACAATAAACATTGCTTGTTTTAATTGCCCCAACATCGATCTACATTTGTACGTTGGTTGGACCATGTGCATTGTTGAACTACCCGTATATAATTATGCACAAAAACGCCGAGATGGGCGGCGATGGCCTCTGTAAACTGTTAGCACACGTTTAAATTTTAAGCGGTGTGGGAAAGCTTGCTGAACATTTTTCAAAGTAAATGTAAATTTCCACCCTTAGTGTGTGTGGTATGCTTGTCGCAAGCTGCCGTCACGTTTTCAAGCATTGTACATGTATACATGTACAGTATTGGCTGGAACAGTGAACCCCATCCATTCTCTGGTGGGAACAGTATAAAATTCTTCTCAGTTGAGCTGTGCTTGTAAGATCCTACTGTGAGACCAAAGCACCAAGACTACATGTACATGTACATGTATGTGTGTGCCGTCTTTACTGTCACTGTGTTCTGAAGCCACTATGATTGGTAAATTTTGGCCTTGTTCAAAATTTGGGCACGGTCACCTCCTCGTCCATGAAGACCCTGCTATCAGTTCCTACAAGTTCTAAAGTTACATCTCACCACAATTGGTCATGCTCTCCTGATTTTTCTGAGGATGCACTGTACATGTAGTCATGTACATGTAAACCGTGTAGCTCAGTGAACCAGGAACAAGCTGTTTTAGCCATGGAAAACTGTGTTAGGGATTTACGACAATGGATGCTCAGGGACAAACTCATGATAAACGACACAAAAACAGAATTTATTATTATTGGCAGCAAACAACAGTTGTCTAAAGTTTCTATATCGGGTATTAAGGTCGGCAGCACCATTATCTCTCCTTCATTGAATGTTCACAACCTGGGTTGTTAATTTGACTCCAACTTGAGTATAGCCAATAATCTCCACATGTTCATTTGCCAAATTGAATGATGAAATTGCTAAAGCGAACAATCTTTAACGACCAAAGATTTGGCTTTCTGTACTAATTCAGTGTACAGTGCCATCATACCAAACCATTGGGTATACTGAACATAACCCTTAACCCTCAAATTTTCTCTGCACATTGATCAGAACATTGAAAATTTTGACAGAAACTGCACGACGTTCAAGTGATCTAGAATGCTGTCTTTCGGAGCATTAGCGCTCTTTTTTCTGAAGTCTTGGAGCATTGTACTTCTGTGAAGAGGCGTATGAATATCAAATAGAAAGAAGTTGCCCTACATGTATCTGGTCCCATGCCAAAGGTCAAACAGCCCATAAAGCAGCAAAATATTGAAGGACTTCCTAATGTTGTCATTGTCTGTATTTTGGACGCGGGTTTATGGAAATGTACATGTACAGTACTTGATGAAAATGTGGTTATTCAATAAAATTTGCTGCAGATTAACTAAATTCAAAATATTCTTTTTTTGCTCCCACCCTAATAAAAACACAGTCTTCCCTTGTCAATCCAAACATTCATCTCTTTGTAATTTAAAGCCGAGTCACATTTACATGTACCGGTACTTGGAGAGAGTTTTGAAAATAAACCCAAGCAAAATGAAAGAGAAACTTGATAGCTTTAAGTTTTCTGTGATAACCTTTCAAGGTGTTGGCATCACATTGCATTTATGCACCTGTAAACTGCTGGTTTATTTGCGTAGCATCTCTGAAGGCCTACATGTATACATTCTGAAGTATTTGTGTTTTGGTAAGATCCATGAAGGTGCAGCACAGGCTGCAGGGAAGCTCATGTCTTGTCCACAATTCAAAATTTATAATTGCATGATTGTTTCTTTGATTCTCTCTCAGGTTGGTGAGACACACTTCCTTCATAGATGTCTACAGAAGGGCTACTTTCTCCACTTTGAACAAGAGTTCTTAGACTTCCCAACAAGGTAAGCCTTTTCTTCCTATTAACAGCACAAGTTTTTTGGGTCCAATTTCAAGAGGTTTTGTTCACTCCAGTGTGTGTTTGTTTGGACACCTTCCTCCACTCCTCATGTCAGCCTTGGTCACAACGTTGCAGATCAAGGTGGACACGACTTCACCAATCTGCGTCCTTGAAGTTGACTAACTGGTTGGCACGGCTTAACCAATCAGCTTCCTTGAAGTCAAGATTCACCTGTTTTCAAACTTAAAAGCTGTATCAAAAAGGCTAAATGTTTCAACATCTACATGTAGATAGATTGGCCACCCAAAACTAACATACATGTACAATGAATTCATTGGCTGACAATCAACACGAGAGAAGTAAGAGGCAATTGGGCCGATTTCGGAAAAACACAAAGTCAAATTTTGTGTTTGTGTTGGTTTGATGATGTAACGGGGGAGATGAGCAGGCATGCATGAAGATACATGTGAGCTGGCTTTGTTATGCCCCAAATGCATTGAAACGAGGAGTTTTGACGATGTTCAGAAAATCCACAAGATTAGACAGTAATCTTTAATATACATAAAACCTAAAATCTTACTCTTAGCTGGTCCAAACAATTGTGAGATTTATTCCGAAATAAGGTACAGGTAGATGTAGGAGTCATTCAATGTGGAGTGGAACGTAACATACATATACAGTGTTTGATTTCCCCTGTATCGCATCACATTTTGTGACGCAATATCGACCAAATGCTACCCGCTTTCTAAAATAAATCGCACATTGTGTGATGCAAAATGCACAGGGCTTCATGATGTAACGATTTGATTGACACATACAGCAGGGCACATTGTCCTTTGAAATACACATATGTGGAAATTGAATCTGCTGACTTCATTGGTTCCCACACAAATTGCGTTCACTTGAGATAGCAAAAGTAGGGAACTAGGAATGCTCATGCATTTCACACGAAGGGAGCAGCATGCATTACAGGCTAGGTTCCAGGCACGGTTTGCATGCAGCATGTACTGTATGTGTATATGACTGAACATGTGGTCATCATTTCATGTCTCACAGTTGGACATTGCATTAAGTTTTAACTTCTGAACGAGTCAAATGGAAGTTGAAAGTGATGGAGATGTAAAATTAATTAGCGGAAGAGTGAAAAACAAGTTCACCTTGCACTTGCTAGAATGAAAAAAAATTGATTGATGTTTCATTTTTGACTGACGTTACTTAGGCTTTTTAGTTAATAGGGAAGACAGTGCATCATGTGCTACCAGATTGTACATAAATAACGTTGCGAACTTTGACTTTCACTTAACTTGTTGCCAAATCCCTTGTTGAAAAAGAATCATTTTGTAAAATACTTGTACTATGTACTATAACCTTCATAATACCGGGTACGTGAGCTGTTAAACCTGTTGAACATTCAGTGTCCAAAATTCAAAACAGCGGCATCCGGAAATCGGGCAAGAATTCAGCTGAGGCTTCCCTGACCATGCTGATGGGGGGGCACATGAAAAAATTCCCCCAAACGCAAATAAACATTAAAGAAATTCTTTGAAGTTCATGTAGATAAATTTTGCTAAATTATTATGAGCTCCACTTAAGCTAACTACAAGTTTGAAAGAAGGCCATTTTTGTATTTTGGAAGCAGTTTCAAATAGTTCATCTAGGACTTCAGAAAAAAATTGAAAAATCAAGCCCAAATAAAAATTTCATCGAAAGTTTGTGGTGGGTAGAGATTTTTCTAAAATCAATATTTTTGAATCGGAACGTTGGGAGTTTCCAATGTCACTAATGAAATTCGAGTTAAGTGGGCTACATTAGGGTACATCGACATATCCTTTCGCAAGTAAGCAATTGCCAGTCAGACGAGAAGCCAACATTAGTGTTCACACTTTTGCAAGCAAAGTTAGGGCCAGATTCTTTCAACAGTACAATTCAGTTCATCAATTAAGGGGCAGGATACTCAGATGTGTTTAGCCGATGATGCTTATCATGAACAGCCGTTTTAGGCAGATCCTGTTAGAGGTATTTTACCCCTATTTTCAGGTAATTAATGCCGACTTTACCCATTTGAAAAATTTTCCAACCCTAGACTGAGAACCCACTGAAACCCAAAATGATTTAAAAAACCATTGTTGAAAACCTTCTTTGTTTTATTGTTTCCTTATATACGGATATCCAGTGATTTCATACAGCTACATTGTGAAAAAAACTGCTGCACAAAATCAGGCAATTGCTAGGCAAACAAAATATTGCATGGCAGTTTTTGCTACGAAAATATTTTGAGGAAATCGAACAATTTGCTTTGCATACGTGTGTGCACTCGTATTCATGTGCAGTGGCAACAGAGACTATTCATACACAGCGGAGAATAACATGGTCAGCGTAGGCGTACCCAGACCTGTATCTCGGGCTGAATCGCGGGCTACCTTTAGACAAGTTGTATGTGTGTACATGTGAAGCTTCTAGGAAAAAGACAGCAACCCATGTGCGTGCCTGTTTGCTGTGTCTACAATTCTCAATGTGTCACAGAAAAAGTAATGAACCAATGTACATGGATCATGTACAGGTTTTCTTTCGTGAAAGTAAGTGGATTTGATTCCTGTGATAGTAACTAAGCAGTCTTCCAAAACTCCTTGGCATACATGTATGCGACAACCAGGAAGGTTTAATGTCTACCCTTGAGGTTGATTGTTGTCTGAGAACGATTGATTCCATGCATTATTGCACGGAAACCTTGAAAATACTAAGTCGCAGGTTACGAGATTCCTGTTCCAAACTACAAACTGCACAAGACCATGGTATGTTTTATTTTATGACAGAAACCTAACCAATCCTGCACTTAAATTTGATGTACATGTATGGAACAATCAACATAATAGACAAGAACCATGCAAGAACATAGCATGCATGCCTCTACTACAAAACTTGCATGTGAAGATGCACCCTGTTTACAGCTATTTCGTGAGGGCCCATGTTTTTGACATTTTTTGGACCATAAATGGGAAAACTTCCATTTTTTTCAGTTTTGCAAAATGGTCTTGTCACCTGTTGTTTAAGGGTTATAATCAGGGAGAGAAGGGTTTCTTTGCCTCTTTAAAGATAAAATGTATCAGAGACTACTGATTTCAGAAACTCTCTGTATGTATTAATGATGTGCTGGTGATCCCAAAACTTCAGGGGGAGCTACGGCTGTAAATACTGCATTTGTACTTGTAGGCTGCATCTTTACATGTGAGTCTCACGGTAGAGGCATGCTCGAAGTGCACCATGCTTGCATGGTTCTTGTCCACTGCGTTGATTGTTCCATCAAACTGATGTGCACAATTTGTTGTATTTTTGTCATAAAACGATACCTACCTTGGTCTTGTGCAGTGTTATCGTTTCGGACAGGAATCTCTTAAACTGACACTTGATGTTCTCCAGGTGTCCATGCAATGATGCAGTGAATTGATTGTTTCAGGACAACACTCAACACACTAAAGGTAGATTCTAAACCTTCCCAGCTGTCGCAGATACATGTACATGTAAGTAATTTGCCCAGGATTTTGGAGGACTGCTTAGACAAATATCCAGCAAAAAAATAAATTTAGGAAAGTGATGGATAAATCTCCCTGTGTTACGTTGCAGCTGCTGTCATTGCCTTGGTGCTGTACTGCTGGGTCACTGCCAGGTTTGGCACTACATACTCATAACACAGACAGGTTCTGTGATATCATCCTCATTCATGGACGAGTAGATTATACACGCACATATGCAGTTGGTGTCGTAGACATCAAATCCACCCACTTTCTCTATAAGAATCCAGTATATGTACATTTGTATTTGTCACCTTTTCCGTGACACATTGACAATTGCAGACAAGGCAAACAGGCAGGCATGTGGGTTGCCGTCTTCTTTCTAGAAGCTTCACATGTCCAGATGTACCCATGGCTGACTGACCGTCCAATACAGGTCTGAATTCTCCCACACTGACTGCATTATTCTCCATGGTGTACGAACACATATACATGTAGTCTGTTACCACTGCATGTGAACACGAGTGTACACACACATGTATGCCAAGTAAATACATTACATTCTGCTCCGCCGTCAAACTCGTACTCCTTTATTTCGGAACAAATCTCACAAATATTTTGTCTAGATAGCTAAGGGTAAGATTTTAGGTTTTTTATACATATTAAAGATGAATGTCTAATATTGTGTATTTTCTGCATGTCATTAATCCTAACCCCCCGGGTGTACGTAAAATTGTATTGAAATTGGAGGATTTGGGACTAGTAGGGCTAAAACTCCTTGTTTCAATGCATTTGGGGGCATAACGAAGCCAGCTTACAGGTATTTTTGTGCATGCCTATTGTGCAGATCCTTCTGTTACATCATCCAACCAACACAGACACAAAACTTGACCTCGCATGTTTCTGAAATCTTATTTGTCGCTTGTTTATTTTCGGCCAATGAATTCATTTTACATTAGTTTTTGGATGGCTGATCCATCTCCAAAACTCTGCATGTTTGAAGCCTTTTTAGTACCGCTTTAACACTTTTCTGTCATAACCTTTCAAAGTCTGACTGTTGTGTCACTTCTTGGCATCCCAAAGTTGTAGATTTATTAGGGTATTGGCCTATAAATTCTGAAATGTTTGTGCTTTGGAAAAATCCATGAAGGTGTAGCATGATTGTTTCTTTGATTCTCCCTCAGGTTGGTGAGAGACAACATCTTCTTTAATGCCTGCCTAAGAGATGGCCTGTCAACTTTGAACATGAGTTCTTGGGCTTCAATAAAGGTAAACAAAATTCATTCTATTAGTAGCACTGGTTTTTCTGGCCAATTTCCATTTAAGGCTTCAGTTTCTCAAATGAGGCAAAATTTCTGTTCTGTACACTGTTTTTAATTCTCCCAGAAATGTAAAGTTTGCATGGTGTCAGAAATTTGTGTTTAATTTTTTTATTAATTTATTTTTTATTTTTACTTTTTCCCTTTTCATCCCAACTTGCTCACTCACTCGCCCACCACCCGACCCACCAAAATGTTTTTTGATGTAGAATTCAGCACCTTACAGCATTCACGGTTGTCAAATACTGTCAACTGCAAAAGTAGGGGTTTGCTGGTAGAATTGGGCATGTCCAGTGACCTCTTCCACTACTCAAATTCAAAATTTGACCTGCTTAGCAAATGAGGGCTGTCAGGCTGATTGCAGTTAATGCCCTTTCTTCAGGCCTATGGCTTGTTATATAATAGACCCAGGTCTTCAATAGTGAAAAAGCAGCATCCAAAAAGCCAACACATTGCTGTTGTGCATCATGTAGGAAGGAAAAGACATGTACATGTACACATGTGTATGAACCTGGTGTTTGATTTGAACTGAGCAGATAAGAAAAACTTGAACACTGACAAATTCCTTTCCTGGTTTGTATATTTGCTCTCTCAATTTATTCTGGAAACTGCAAAATTGCATGCATTTTATATATAAATCTTAAATAGTATTCTCTATTTTGTGTTTTCAACGAAAGTAAAAGTAAACTGTGTTGACTAGTTTTACTTTTGGTTGTGATTGTATATTTCAGTTTTAAAACATTCTGTATAATTCCTGTAATTTCTTAATTGCTTTTTAGAACTCCAAGAGTGCCTAGCACAGCCAAAGCAGTCTACCCTCATTATGCTACCATCAACGGAGGTCCAGGAACCAGAAGAGGTCAGCATGCACCTGCTCCACTTCGCTGCGCGTGCCGGTGGCCATTAGGGAACACAGCGCAGGTTGGTGGGCTGCATCAATGTTACATTGGTTGTACTTGTGACCGGCGGAGCAATGAATTCAGGAAGGTCAGAAAGGGGTGAGTTGTTATCAAGTCATTTTCTTCTTGTTTCAAGAATGTTTCATGTCACTTCATACATGTACATGTAGATGCAAGGATTCTTGCGGATGTTGGTTAATTTTTTATGCGCACCACCAAAAAAGCAGCAGCAGCAATTCCAAAAAAGAAAGAGGGTTAATTTGTCAGCTTCTGTTGTTAGTTCACCATTTTCAAATCTTTGGCGCTGCAGATCTTGACTGCTGTTCATATAACCCTCCAAAACTTCAGTAGTATTTAAAACACAAAATAAAAACAAAGCGCTGCATAAGTTGTCAGTTTTGGTCAATGTACACTGTATTTCACTTTTTAAATCCTGGCGCTGCGAACATGTACATGTGTGATTTGTGGTTGTCAAATCTCAGGTTTTGGGTCAGTTTAAAGTCAAGTTTTACATCATAGCAAAGTCACAAGTCAAGCTTAATGTAGAGGTGTCTTCAGTTCAAGTGTTTAGAGTAAACAGGTAATGTTGAACTCCAAGGAATACACTTTAGCTGTACAGTTCAGAGGGTACTAAATTTCCTCCGATCATTGGATTTTGTTGATGTCCTACGTAATACAGTGTTCAAAATTATTCAGGCTTAACATTTAAACTTTCACTTTGTCAAAAGTCAACCAAAACATCAGTGAATCAAATTGTGTTTTTCAGTATTGCCACCATTTTACAGTCTATAATAAAAAGGATTAGAGTTGGCCAATCAGCGCAATCAATTATAAGTGTAATTATGTTTACAACATTTTAATAGCCCTATCTTGCAAGTTTCAAACCTGCAACTTTTGAAAAGTCAGCAGAACTGGAGGCAACTTACCAGCAATTTTTTTTGTAATCATTCACCTGTTTGCTAATCACTGAAGATAATTCTGGCACTAAATTAAATTTGTACAACCAGATTTATAAGGATTCTGACGACATTTAATAATACACAAAATCAGGGCCTCAACAAAATTCAATTGTCGGAGGAAATGGGACTGTACAGAATTTATTTCCTGAAGTTCAACCTCAACACTTGAAATAAAAACAGCAACATAAAGCTTGAGTTTTTACTTTGTTGTGG